AAGTTACGAACTTATCACTCGGCTGACTTTAGTTTTAAGTTTCGTATTTCTTAAATAGATCGCAGGGCGAGCCGATTATTATTTTTCTAAAAACTTCCAGCGAATAGATTTACAGTGTAGTTTTATATTCTTTGCTCGTAGGTGATGCAACTTATGTCGGTATGGGGTCCGTTGATCTACGCCGGCTGTTTCGCGGCAACCCTCTCTACAGCGTTGACAAACTTGCTATCGGTACCACGATTGATACAGGCGCTGGGACAAGACAGAATCTATCCCGGTTTGATTTACTTCAGCAAAAGTTACGGGAAACACGGTGAACCTTATCGTGGTTACGTGCTCACGTTCTTCGTAGCAGCGTTGTTCCTCTTGATAGGTATCGAGAAATTTGCTAGTGCCGATATTAGACTTCTAGCTTTTAAATTAAAATAGCGAAATAATACAAATCATCTCACTTTTCAGCAAACTTGAACGTGGTCGCGCCTCTAATCTCAAACTTTTATCTGGCATCGTACGCGTTAATTAATTTTTGCACCTTTCACGCGGCGCTTATTCGGCCGCTTGGATGGCGACCCACATTCAGAGTGAGTAACCAAAGTAAAAAGATATTTTAAGAGCACATCTTGAATAATCAGTGGCTATCAAACAAGGAGGGAAATTCAGTGAAGCTTCTTTTTTACAGTATTACAACACCTGGTTGTCTTTGTTCGGTTTTATCACGTGCGTGTCCATAATGTTCCTCATTGATTGGGTGACTTCGCTGGTCACGTTCGTCATCATTTTCGCATTGTATCTGATAGTGGTGTATCGGAAACCAGACGTGAATTGGGGTAGCAGCACGCAAGCACAAACCTACAAGACAGCACTTTCTATCGTTTATCGGTAAGAATATTATTATAATTGCATTATTTTTCTTAAGTTAGTCAAATTCAAATATGTACCATGTACGCGATGTTACCATTTCGTATAGACACGTTTAAAGTGCGCTATTTACCAATTTTATCTGACGTCGTACTTTCTATTTTCAACTGCCTCGCGATATAACATAATTCTCAAATGTATGTTCAAATTAAATGTTGCAGATTGAATTCTATCGACGAACATGTCAAAAATTATGCTCCACAAATTTTGGCACTGAGCGGAGCTCCTGGCGCCAGACCAGCGTTACTGCATCTGGCAAATCTCATCACGAAAAACCATTCGCTACTGATTTCCGGTGAAATACACCCAGTACGTGGTTTAGATAAGTGGATTTAGACACTTTAACTTTTAAACATTCCTAAAATACTGCGTTTCCGATTAGTCGCTGTAACCACATTTTTTCAACCAGTTATTCTCTGACGATATTTTTATCTTCCACTGTCATACTAGTGTCGTGAATCCTCTCGTATCGAGAATCTAAATTGGATTTTCAAACACCCAAGATTAACAAAAACGACTTTCGTCTCTTTCCAGACTCGTTTATCGTACCGTTTACGATCGATGCGACTGAGAAACGGTTATGCATGGTTACATCAACAACGTATAAAGTCGTTCTACCATGTAGTGGAGGATTTAAGCTTCGAACGGGGTGCATCAGCTTTGATGCAAGCAACAGGTGTCGGCAAGTTGGCACCGAACGTTGTTTTAATGGGTTACAAAACACACTGGTCAACGTGTAACCACAAGGATCTGCAAGAATATTTCAATGTTCTTCAGTAAGTCAATTAGCGTTTATCACGGTATCCACGATAATGAGAATATAACGAAACTTTGTACCTGTTTCTAGTAACGCATTCGATCAGAAGTTAGCGGTAGCGATGTTACGAATCGCGGAGGGCTTAGATTGTTCGGAAGTTGCAACCGCCAATGGGGATGACGAACATGGTGTTTTAGCGCAAAGTAGCTACGATTTGACTGGAAGCACTTTGATGCACGTGGATAGCAATTTGTCAATGTCCAGCCAAATTCCAAGGGTGCAAAGCGTGCCAACGATAGGTATCTATGAGTTCGATCGATCAGGTTATGATTAGATTCGTTAAAAAATCTCTTTTCCTTTTCCTTAGCTACTTTTATCGTGATGTTTAGCAGCGTTCGAACTCTACCTGGAATTCTTCATTTGAAATTCGTTATACCGATCGATATAATTTTGTTTCAGGAACGCAATTCGTGCCGGTAGACGCTCCACAAATTGTTAGAGATTCGCCTACTCACGGAAGTGCTCGTGACCATTTGAAGAACAAACGAAAACACGCGATAGAAAAATTAATGTAGGTGAAGATTAATTTCAATGAGCATCTACAGACGTTAAGCGTTACATCTGTATTTTTGGTAATTGTGTTAATCAGAAAATGTTATTTTATATTTTAAATTATCTCTACAGGGAGAAACGGCATGCGATGACACCGGTTCCTGAACGCTTAGCGATTTTCCAAAGAAAGCACAAGAATGGTACAATCGACGTGTGGTGGTTGTACGACGATGGAGGTAATTCATAAAATGTTTACAGGTGTCTACAATCAATATCACTAATCGATATATTTATCTGACCGTATTCAATTAACCTATATTTAATTAATCTATATGATATAGATGTCTTTCTATTTCATCTAAATGATTTAATCAACAGTGTACCTTTGACTTATTCCAGCAGATAACTGAACGAGATTAATATTAATTTTCGAAGAATAATCTTTCAATAATTTCGATAGTTTCGATAGATTAAAAACGTGTCGCTTTTGTATCCGATGCATTTAACAAAAATCTTCAATGAACCACGTTACTTATTCTAAAATATTTACTTAATTTCCCAAATTAGGTGTACTCATTTTTAAGTGGTAGACATTTTTATTCAACAGGTTTGACGATTCTTCTTCCTTATATAATCAGCACACGCTCGAATTGGGAGCATTGTAAAATGCGAATTTTCGCTTTGGCCAATCACAAACAAGATATAGTGGCCCAGGAGAAGGAGTAAGTTAAATGTCCAAAAAAAGTATGATTCGATTTAGATTTTATATACTTATAAATAATCGTATAATCGAGTAGATTAAATACAAGTGATTTTTTGTTCGTATCTTCGACAAAAGAATTCTTTAATTAAAAATAGCTTTAATTAGAAATAATCGATGTGATCGTCGATCATATATATTAATAATTTACAGAATGGCCGAGATAATGGCAAAATTCAGGATAAGATATACCAGTTTGAAAATGGTAGACGACATAAGCGTTCAACCAAAGCAAGAAACGCTAGATTTCTTCGATAAACTTATATCTGACTTCCGAAAAAACGAGCCTGACAACACAGGTATTTTACCAGATTACATATACATATCTGTCCTATTTGAAAAAAGATCATTTATTTATTACGACGGAAATATATCAGTATGATCATTTCAAACGTCAATAATTATCAGGCTACTTGAAATGATAATTTCAATATCTCGTTGCAGAATGTTGTGTAACAGAAATTGAACTTCAGTCTTTAAAAGATAAGACGTACCGGCAACTCAGACTGCGAGAATTATTATTGGAGAATTCCAGTCAATCCACGTTGGTTGTAATGTAAGTGCATATTTTACTAGACGACTTGCGAAATTAATAAACGAACAAACAAGCAGTTATTTACAAATGATTTTGTTAAATTGCAGGTCGTTGCCAATGCCAAGGAAAGGAGCGGTTTCAGCCCCACTGTACATGGCATGGCTGGAAGCTTTAACTAAAGATATGCCACCAACACTCTTGATACGCGGAAATCATACTTCTGTCTTAACGTTTTACTCGTAGTTCACCGACATTATTCTTAAACAATAATATAATTTTAGTATCTAGATGAATTTACGTTGAATAACATCACGAAACCGTCTACGCAATTAGCAAAGACATCTTCTGATGTGGACAGACAGTATTCGGTATATTCATGCCAAAAGTTATATAGATACTATGATTTGTTTTCGTTTTTATACAGTATTCATTAAACGTCAAGCCCGGTGGTACTTGCTGACGAGATTATTTTAACGTAGAAATGAAAGACAACAATATATGGGACTATCAATAAATAATAGCCTCATAACTTTGATACTTATAGGACTCTAGGACGCGCTAATGAAGAAATATACACTACAACTATTCTTAGATTGTACTTTGTATTGTACTTTGAAGCGTGGAGATGTTTTATTTAGTTAGCGATCAATGACTTTTATATGATAATACACACGATTATCTTTAACATATACTATATTAATACGACATATAGTACAGTAGACAGATAAAGTAGAATTTAAATTTTCATTAAATACGATGGACTTCTTAAATACGCATTGAAGTTAATGACGTATAACTAAATAATTTAATAATAGTATGACGTACTTTATATGTTAACGTCTTTTTAACTGATCTAAATGTATAGTATTATACTTAAGCAACGAAGGACGAGATATTTCTTATTTCCCATCAGTAATATATTTTTTCATTATAGAGCTGTGTACTTATTTAAGAAAATTCTTGTTACTGAAATTCCGATTCCATAAAAAACTTATATAAATGCTTAAAGATATGATTCACTTATTTTTACAAAAGTATTTTCTATTTTAAATAATACGATACTTAATAATACAGTACTTAACTATTATTGATCATTAATTATTATCGTTATTACTGATGCTCGAATAGGAAATATTCTTTTTGTTTTCATATAACTTTTAGTTACGTATAAACAAAGTACAGAACAAAGCTTAATTGTGAATTGTTTTAAATCACGCCTCATAGATTATTTAATTAACACTAAAATAACGTAAACAATTTTCAGTACTGAACAAGTTATTATTATACTTCATTCTTTAATTTCTAAATTAATTAATTTCTAAATTAAATCAACGATTCATTTTGTAAACATAAATTCGATAATCTTTCTGTATAAACTTGTAAATGAAAATTTTTTCACAGTAAGGTATTACTGAAATGCACCGTTTGTAAATATGAAGATAACTAAAAAAAGAACAATTAGTAGAAGTAAGTCTATGAAAGCTTATAAAATGTTTTATTTATTTTGTAATGCATTTAATGACATTAAAAAGATCTATCATTAGTTATAATAAATTCATTGTGATTTTTACATTCCTGAATTTATATAATTTTCCTTTCTAACGATATCACTTCATGATTTAATGATCCAAAAATATACTAAATTTTTATGTACTATAAAAAATTAAGGAATTATAGATATAATTCAGGAATCAGTGCTTCGTGTTCGACTTCTCCCATTGAATGAAGATGTTCTATAATCAATATCAATATTATTATCAATTATTATTAACCGATCTGTATAACATATACATAAAGATTTTATATTTAAAACTTTTATAGAAAAAACAATTTTGTTTCATACAAAAATATTTTACATCAGAATTATAGTCATTTTAGCTAAGTAGCTCACTTGTTACAATGAGTTTCAAAAATTCTAGCAAAAACTGGCTGTATTTGTTCCAATATATCACATGTTAGCATTCCCCTTTGCTTTATCTTATATGCAGATGCATTACATTCTCTTACTAATCTAGATGCGGCGTAACTTGCAGCTATTGGAGGTGACAAAGCACTTTCACTACTTCCAGCGCAAATAGCCCACCACCAAAATACAGCCAACGCGCCAGATAGTAAGTCTCCTTGACCTCCGCATCTTCTTCCAGAACCTGCTAATCCACATGACACAGCTTCTGTACCTTTATGTCCATCTGCAATTACATCCTTTGCTCCTTTGTGCAAAATTACTACATTTTTGCCAAATGCATCTGCCAAATGTTTAACATCGTTAGCTTTAATCATTGGTGTGGGTTGAACATTTTTGTCCAGTACTCCTTTAACAAGACGACTGAATTCCATTGCATTAGGAGTAAGAACTACACCTGGATACTCTTTTATAATATCAGGCTTTTGGCTAATTAGAAATAATCCATCCGCGTCAATTACTAGTGGCTTTTTCATATCACGACAAATTGAAATTAATTCAACAATTGTTTTAAATATTTTATCATCTCTACCAAGACCTGGTCCGATAACGATTACATGCAAACGATCAAGCCATGGTCTTACTTGTTTAATCGCATCATATTGATCTAAAACTGGATGAACAATAGGTTCTGGGCTAAATGATTTCAAAGGAATGCTTGCGTCTTTCACACAAAATATGTGCACTAAGTCACATCCAGTGCGAAGTGCACTCATTGCTGCATAATACGGGGCACCAGTGTATTCGATACTACCACCAAATATTCCAATTCTACCATCTTGTCCTTTATATTTGGTATTATTCAAATTTGGAATTATTTTTCTTATTCCTTTTAACATACGCTCATCAACTGACACGGATGTTGCCATAGTGGAAACTAATGGACACTTGACTAAATTCCTGTGGGCAAACTGCAAAATACCAAGAGCCATTCCTCAATTTAAGAGGTTAATCTTAATAGTTACTTTCCTCTTACAGATGATATATATAATGATTGATGCAAACCTTTCCTAACATATATATCTTATTATTTGTTGTAAAATACATATTTTTCAGCAACATTTATATATATAATAGATACAATATATATATGATAACAATGGTACATAAATAAATACATTAAGATAAAAGAGATAAGTACTAAAATACAATAATACCTGCAATGTTCTTAATATCTAATTGACAATATATACTGTATTTTTGTAGCAATTATTAATTGACTAGAAATCGAGCAATAATACAGAAACACAAGATATGATAAAAAGTAACGATAACCTAAAAAAGTAGATTGTTCTACTTTATTCGTATGAAACTGCGCATGTTTTTTACGTTTTTATGCCTAAAATACTGATTTAATAATTTACCTAAACACCTTTTGAGTTTGTTTTGTTACATAGAAAAAGCAGGATAACAAAAACTGAAAATTTTTAAACAAGACAGTACGAAAGTATTAACAAGTGTACGATTCAAAACTTTAAAAAACAATTGTCACTTCGATATCGGCCATTAACTATTTGAAACATTATGAAGATTCGTACGTTCATTTATAAATAGGGATCAAAGATTTCGAGAATGAATAAAATTGATAAATTACGTCTATATATAAAATAATACACATACATATGTATATATGTAGCTATATTAGATGTTTGTCGAAAATTATTATTCCATACGAATATTTTAAGTATATTGTCTATTCGTCACTCGTTTTCCTTTAAACATTCAAATGCCTAAATCATACTTCGGCAACTTTCATTTTATAATAGATTTTAATATACAATTCCTTGAATATACCATCAATTTGTTAGCGCAGCCCTTTTTGTAAAATACAAAAATGTGTTTATTTATGATATACATACAAACAATAAATATTTTATAAGCTAACAAGATACAGTTCCTAATATTCACAATATTATGAAATTTTAGTTAATTTTACCTACAGAAAGAACGAAAAATACACATAACCTCTATTTTCATACTACAAACATAAATTGTGTTATGCAAAATATATATGTATGTATGTATATAAGGAATCATATTAATGAAACATTTGAATTCATACTGTACGATAGTACACGATAGTCACCAAATAGTAGTAGTCACTATACGAGTAGTGTATTCTAAAATTCACATGGTCTCCGTCCATTCATGGTTTTGCACTGTCAATGAATGACTCTGTTCAAATCGTTATTCGTATTTTTAAAGGTTCGAGCAATAGTAGGATAATAAGTTTATTCGAAAAAAGACTATTCCTTTGAATAAATATTTATAATGAAACTAGCTACTCTCGATTACTCTTTCCCTTTCAAACTTAATTATAATATTTCAATAATTCACACTTTGTTAATAACTATTAATGATGTTTAGATCGCAATAATTTTGAAGGAACCATTAATAACTGAATTGATTATATCAATAAGAAGAAAAAAAAGATAAGTTAACCTAAGAAGTTACTTTTAAGTCAATTTTATCTGAAAATGTCGTAATATTGGCGGAATAAGCTAAATCGTAATCTAAATTTCAATCAAAGTAAAGCTAGTCAAGTACATTGTTTATTAATACAATTAAATTGTTAAGTACTGGTCGCTAATACTTTTTTGTTTTTTCATATGATATATCAAGGTGAAAAACTATACACTTTGAAAGAATGCATATGTTGATAATAAAGGGAGACAGTGTTGATTAGATAATATATTTTATTAAATACATGTAATAACTTTAAGAGAAAAGTTAGTTTTACATTTCTACCATCCATTTTATACATTTAAGGCTTAAGTTTCTATACATTAATTTTTAAAAACGTTGGGACGTTCTGAACTTTTAATCACTTAATAATAAAAGGAACATTAAAATCTGCGTGAAGCAAATTCCGATTAATTTAATATTACTTACTAACATCTTCTTCAATTAAGTATAATTTTAATGAGAATTAACGTGATTTTACTATTCTTGTGCAGAATCTTGCATATCATGAGCAAATGTCAAAATGTCATATTCGCTCGAACGTGCGTAGATAGACATCATAATTAAACAACTTATAGATTATATTTTGTATCATATAACTCTAATCTAATATTATCAATGTTATGCATTTTATGCACAAAAAGCACGTCGATATCACAGACTCTATATACATAAACAAGAAACAAGTCAGACATATGTGAAAACTACAACTTACATGAGATAATAAAAAGATGATATGGAAATATTGATGAGGATTGTTCATATGCTTTGTTAATGAACTACGATTAGGAACGGTTTGGGTCATAAATTTTGAATGGCCTTCCATTTTCAGTTCATTGATTAAACTTTACATCGAGTAGCCCCAATACGGAAATATCTAGTATACATGTTTTTTCGTTATTTCTGCGACAGTTAGAAATAATTTACAACTGCAATTTTATTCATATCTGTTTTCGTAGGAAAATTAAATTCTACGAGTCCAAGTCCCTAGTGAGACTTTTCCCAAACTCCTGATGGCCAATCCAATCGCTCCTGACAAAGACGAGAATTAGAAATAACCCATTCTTTTATTTTTGATTAAACGAACAAGTTATTTAAGCTGTACTTGCTAAATGTAAATGTGGCTTTAGGGAATTATTAATTTATCGTGCAGGTATGAGAAAATGGGAAGTTCGAACGGGGACTGTAGAAAGAGGAAGCGTCAACGCTTAAGGATACCATTGGGATTGATTGCGACCTGCAAACGCACATAGCGATTGCCTGAGTTCCATCATCTCTGGTTCTAGAAAAAGATAGCAGTCATTTAAGGGTACCGTTTTATTATTATATTATGCCCTCTCCCTTGTTAGCGTACAGGTTAGCAAGCTTCAACGATTTCGCGACTGCGACGTCGAATGTACTCGGTTATTCTTTATACAATCGTCAACAAACGTCAAAGTGAAACTACCCGAATTCAGCATTTCCAAATGTACAGAACATACCGCGACTGTTTCTAACTCGTTCGATTACATTTTTAAATAAATTAGAGATAGACACACAATAAAAACCGTTCAAATCACGTATATAATTTCTATCAAATAGCATTTTTTTATCTTATCGTACGTCTTCAACAATCATATTGATTGATTTGTATATTATCTTTATCAAAGGAAGAATGATAGACATCGTCAGTGTGTTGTGACGCAATTGTATCTGATAGTTTTATTATATATGGGGAAATATATAATTTCATGTAGACAATGGTAGGAGTTTAGTTCTGTTCGAATCGTCGTAGTGATTCCATTCGGCAATCCAAGAACCCAATTTTACAGTGTTCCATGTATGTACATACTTTTAGAACTTCACTCTTTGAGCTTTTGAAAGAAATTGTCGCCCTCTCCTAACTTTCTGTTCATCATTTACGTGTTTGCTGCGTAATTCAATATTGCTCTTTTTCATCCACATTTTAAGTGTCTCGTTTATTTCCTTCATACAAGGTATAATTGTTCGCGAAAAATTCGGTGAAATTATTCATAATACGTGGATGAATCTAACGATCTAGAGGGATAGAATGCCAGCTCTACAAATCTGTCATTGCTACGAATCGTCCATACTTTTGTCACACTATTAGTTAGATTGTTAGTGTTTTATATTCTTTGTAATTTTCCAAAGTGAGTGATTTTAAAGATCAGAGAACGTTTTTCACACTTTTTGGTTAGTAAAAATGAAAGTTGTAATAACGATGGTCGTAGATCACATTCTGTACCTTTTACAGTTTCTCGTCAGTGGATTTTTGATTGCTGTGAGAATTTGGCGAAAATTTGGAGGAAATGGCTGCCTTCGAAATCCTTTGCGGATTTATCGTGTTTTTCCTTGCTTTTTACTATTACCTAGTAAAGCCCTATGAGTATTGGGAGAAGCGCGGAATACCTGGACCCAAGCCACAACTGTTGTTTGGAAATTTTTTTCCCGTAATATTTGGGAGGATATCCATAGGTGATCGACTGATGTCTTTTTACAAACAATACAAACACGAGCCTGTGTTTGGATTGTTCGTACGAACGCAACGTATTCTTGCTATAAATGATCCTGATTTAATCAAGACTGTTCTTATCAAGGATTTTTCCAAATTCTCTAATCGTGGCCTTGCTGTGAACGAAGTGGTAAGTACGCGAAGGAGTAATTTTATGTAAGAATTAAATAAGTTCGAAGTAAGGTTGCACGAATAAAGTTAGCGTGAATTCAGTGAAAGTTACTATTGCACTCTGCACTCTATCTATAATTCGTATAATCGTTAATGTGTAATATCAAGTTCATAGATAGTGTTATATACTGATATTAAACGATAAGCTTCGATATTAATCATAATATAATGTTTTGATCAATTTGTTTCATATCATAAAATTAGAAATGCACTTAACAGATACGTTTGATCATTAAGAATAGATATCGAATGTAGATATAGATATAGAATTCTAGAAATTCAATAATATATGTTACAATATGTAATATAACACAATAATATATTTAAATATATATTAATTATATATTATATATATATATTTTTTAAGTTCTATATTATTTATTTTCGATTATTCGAATTTTTCAATATAGGCAGAACCACTTTCTCAACATTTATTTTCCTTGGAACCAGAAAGATGGCGACCACTAAGAACAAGACTATCGCCAACCTTCACATCGGGCAAGCTAAAAGACATGTTTTCTCTGATCGATGAATGTTCTAACACTCTGGAGAAATATTTGGAATCATTGATATCGACAAAAAGCTACATCGAAGTACGAGAACTGGCTGCCAGATTCACCACCGACGTAATTGGCAGTTGCGCCTTCGGAGTCGACATGAATGCCATGTCAGATATGCAATGTAAATTCCGCGATATAGGAAGGGAATTCTTCGGTCCTGGTTTAAAGCAGACATTAAAAAACAGACTTCGTGAGAATTTGCCAACATTGTACACTCTTCTGGGTTATATACTGCCACAAGACGAAACCACTATTTTCTTCACAAACGCTGTTTTGGATATGATAAAGCACAGAAGGAAGAACAAGATCGTTAGACCGGACTTCATTAACACTCTTATGGATCTACAGGATCACCCTGAGAAGTTGAGCATAAGTACGTGTGTATGCTTTTCGACGTTGTAGAAATTTGGTGTGATCGTTTGTCGTGAGTAATTGGTAAGAAAAGTCGAGGAAAATTAGGAAACAGTTGCGCGCAATTAGAATGGTTCGTTCCTACACGAATCGAGACCGGTGACAAAACGTTACTGTTCAGGATGTCTTAAGAACGATTTTCTCTACTTTAAGGCGGTGATATAATGAAAATGTCGTTTCTCTCGTTTTAGAATTAACCGAGCCTTTGCTAGTTGCACAAGCATTCCTTTTCTTCGTGGCTGGTTTTGAAACTTCTTCGTCAACGATAGCCAATGCCCTTTACGAATTGGCGCAAAATCAAGATGTACAGGATAAATTACGAGCCGAGATCAAGGAACATCACGAGTTGAACGATGGGAAATGGCAATATGAAAATATTAAGAAAATGCCAATCTTGGATGCCGTGTTTAAAGGTTTGTTGGATATTTTATATATGAATGTTTACATTTACTTATAAATGCTCGTAGGCTAAAATGATGCGTTAATAATAAAATAAGCTAATAGAATTGCAGAAAATTGCAAGTTTTAACAGAGGTTCTTTATCTTTAGAAACGTTAAGAAAATACCCACCGGTGACCGTCATAATGAGAAAAAATACGGAGAAGTATACCTTTGAAGATATAAAGCTGACAATTCCAAAGGACACTAGGATCTTTATTTCTGCATACGGTATCCACCGCGATCCAGAGATTTATCCGAATCCTGACGTGTTCGACATCGATCGGTTTAAGGAGGATGCAGTAGCTGCAAGGCATCCGATGCATTATCTACCTTTTGGCGATGGCCCAAGGAATTGTGTTGGTATGTAGTATCACCTTGTTAAGCAGTTGTTCGTGCGAAAGCAAATTATTTACAAATCGATAAATCTACTATATAAGGCATATTATTGAAATTGGTTATCAATTGTAAGATACTACGATATATTAATATTGTATCATGTTTTTTTCGTAGGTGCACGTTTTGCAATCTTCCAGACTAAAATTGGACTGATAAAAATCCTCCGTACTTATAAGGTTGATGTTTGTGAACGAACACAAATTCCGTATATAAATGAACCACGTACGTTCACGCTAGCACCCAAACACGGACTCGATCTAAAAATTACGAAAGTTGAAAGTTAATAAAATACTTTATAACCCTTTCGATATTCAAGTTAGCTGTTGTAAACATAAGACTATATCTCTCCGATAAAATCCACGAAAATCATGCAATCTGTACGCAATAGCAATTTTCTTTCGCTTGAAGCTTCATTTTTATGATTGATTTTTAAAGAAATCAATTATGAAGAATCAGTTATTAATGGCAGTAAAATAGCGGAAAGCCGAAAGAAGATATTTAATGATATTCTCATAATTTATTTGTAATTATTATTGCATTCAACGTAATATATCATTTTGTTTCCTTTGAAAATTATTACCAGGCTAGGTAAACTTATTGTAAATATTTTCTGATGATGTACTAGGGGAAAAGAGGAATGTATTTTTGTTATAAGATTATTTTATGAAATAAATAACTTTTTATACGTATGTTTAATGTATTAATCGAATTAAATTAATTATTAATTTATTTGTAGTCTAACGAAGGCCATAAAGTAAAGTAAAGTAATATCAATGAAATATTAAAAGTAACATCTCACTTTTTTTTTATATTTTACGTGGAGGAAATCCGCACGGACGTCAGGCCGCTTCTGGGGATAGCGGCGAGGTAGTGTCGGACTCCAACCGACTAAAACATCCACAATAACCGTCCCGGCTGCGATCGAGAGAGGCCCGGGAACCGCTATGAGCGTCGCAACGGGGCCTGCCCCGTGCGCCTAATACCATCGCTGATGGAGCGGTATGTCACCATTGTCACACACCAGGGTCGTGCCCGGTTCCCCTACCGGACTGCTTGGCG